TGGAGATGAATTTTAGAGTCGGAGTATCTCCTGGAACAAACAGTAAATTGATTATTGAACATGCGATTCAGAAAAAAAATCAAAATGTCAAGGGCAGATAATCTCTCGGCTTGGATTGACTTGGATTCAATCGGATTAAAAAGACTTCAAGCGCAGATATTTAGGTGGCGCTGGTTTGGTTTGGGCATTCCCCGTTTATATCTGCAGATAGTTCATCACAACCTTGTAAGCAATGAAAAGAATTGAAATGAAATAAAATGGGGTTTAACGTCCTACTGTTCTGACTAGGCTAATGAGGACGGGAAAGGAATTGAACTACTTTTGGATTTAAATTCCTTTTAGGGAATCAACTTTGACAATATTGTAGTTTGCAAGGGTTTCATATGATCAACAGAGACTTCTATTCAGACTTCAATTCACGCCTTCCCGGTATTTGATCCTGGTGGCGCTACGGTCAGCAAACTGGGGCCAACCGTGGGAATCGGTGGCGAGGCCATAGTAAACCGTGGCAAACTATAATGTCACCGTAGTCAAACCGTGTGAAACTGATTTTCTGCCAAAATGGCCATAGTTCGCCCCGGGAAATACTTACGAATTCTGTCCCAGCAAGATTCAGCAAAAAACTACGATAAGCAATATTACACTGGTAAGGCCTAAAAATCTTGACAGTGCCGTTCGGTATCCATGAAACCTATTGATTCCGTGTTCTAGAATGAAATACATGGATTGAATTCCGGCATTTCCAAATGAATCATCCAAATGTTCTATTATTATATAACAGTTGGTGAAGGCGGTCAGAAAGAGTATATTACCAAATATAGTCAAAGTTGAAGCTCCATTAGAAAACTCTATAGAAGGTAAGTAAAACAATAAGGATGAGCCATGTATCGCACGGCGACGCATTTATCACAGTCTGACCCATTTATCACAGTCTGACCCATTTATGGTGTGATAATAATTATGGGATGTTTGGTTATCTGTAGTGATGGTTTGATTTTCCGTAAGTATTACATAAGGGAAACTCGATGTATTTTCCGGAATGGAATTCTTTCGATCTCACCAGCAGTGACAATTCAGTAAAAGAGACGTCCTGGCTATATCGCATGCGCCAACTAAATAAATAAATAAAAAACAACCGGTTTCCGCCAATCATCACGGCTGAAACATCTTGATGGCGTGACGTTTCTACTTGCACCGCATCAGCTATCATGACCCAGAACTATATAGGAATCAATTTCGTGTCACTCGATTGCAGTTTCGTCAATTCGGAACTATTCGAACAGAAAAACGAGCAACCACCCAGCCCATATATCCCAGTCTGATTAAATTGTTGAAAGCTATTCGCTTCTGGACTGTCTCCATGCTTCTCTTGGGAAGCCCCACTGCGCAATCATTATTACTTAATCTAATAATGTCCAAGTAAAAGTTACTTTAACCCTTGAAGATAAATATAGCCGGGGGTTTAGATTCAATTTAGTTGCCGAGTCAATGCTGTGTGGAATATATAAAATGTAAACGACTAATGCTGTCTATCTTCGGGCATCACAGTCAATATGTAAGCTTTCACATAATGGAGACTGAAGGCGTTCGTTAATCAATTAGATTGGTGCCTGCACCTTGCTTCCAGAATATATGTAAAAGAGACTGCACTATACCTCAGTAGCCTAGGATATAGTACTTACACGATAAAACCATCATATTAATCAGTAGTAGGCGGGGTATTATACATTCTGACAGATTGCTCTCGTCCTTTGATCGGTTATATGGCAGACACTCCAACAAGGTTGATAGAAAGCTATTTTATTATGGAGCCACTATGGTATAGCTGAATGAAATATTATGAAGGCGATGGGAAATTCTCGTGCCCGGCCATTAAAATTAGTTGTATCAATCGGAAATTCATGCTTGTTTACCGCCTTAGACTAAAGAAATCCAGGTAATTGGCAGTCAAAATAGGACAAATGGGAGAAAGAATTAATATGTAATGTTGCGTGTAGTATGCAGTTGAAAACATCCCTTTTATCTTGTAAATTATATGCACTTAACAAAAACGCATAGTGAAATTTTGTCGTCGGTATACCCTCGCTCCCATCGCCTCGTTGCAACAGGAACCGCGACTCATCGCTGTGTGAATCCATTGACGGGACGCCTGGCTCGTAATCCGATTTCACGTAGGCGTTTACAGAATCTGGTCTGAGATCCTACACCGTCCAAGAATTGCTGTAGTAGAGGTCACTGTTGTGAACCGTTTCCACATGTAACGTAACCTGATGTGACGATCCAGGGCAGGTGGGGTCACTTTTGTTTGGCCTGAGCTTGGGCGGTCATGTGTCGAACTTCGCTGTTGTTACCTATCCAAAAGTCGAGAAATGGTACTCTGGAAAACATTCAGCAGTCTGGCTACATCTGTCTGGCATTCACCTGCTGGTAACCGACCGATAGCGTTGTTGCGTTGGTCTTCGTTTAGATTTGGCACCACTTGGCACGTTGAGTGTTTACATGTGCAACTGATTTTGAAACCGAGAACCCTGGGATTTTAAAGGCCTTAGATTTGGGTTTCATATGCAATCAAGTGAAAACAACTTCCGGCAAAAAGTATGACCAGGCATAATTAGTGATCCTACATTTAAAACAAATAATGAATTTCTTTTATCCTTACATAATGACATTAAAAACATATAAGATTTATGGAAACAACGATCCCGTTCAAATAAAAAAAAATATGAAAAATGGGCTATGCGTTTCTTTTTTTTGAAGAGTATATTTATATTTCAATTAGATAATTATAATATTATGATGGACTACAAATAAAACATTCTTCCTCTTAAAGACAATATTTTAAGCATACTCTTTCGCGGAGAATTTGAATGTAAGCATGGACAAATAGACAAGACACAGTAGTCGCATCCGGTTCATAGTTTGATATCACCTTAGGTGAAAACGGACGCCATAACCATCTCATCAATCAAACTTGCAGAGTAAAATAGTAGAAGTAGATTTTCCACACTGATCCTGGGGACATTATACTAATACATATTCATGTTATTACTTTTCAGAACGTCTTGTGGCTATGTTATATTTTGACTACAAACTTTATTTAAATTGGAAAATGAGTGACAAAGATGCAATGGAAGCGGAAGAAGAAAAGCCAAGGTCATGGTCATCACTAGCCCATGACACTAGATGACCCAAACTCAAATAAGGACAACCAAAAGTACCATGTGGAAAATCTAAATCGGTCAAGTGTACTTTTGAATTCTCTGGAAATGAAATCGTGTGATTGATAAATGAAATATTTCTTACGTTCAAACGTATATCTGTTAAAATATAGACCTAGCATTAAGAAGGGTGTCGTTTAAGAAAAAAGGAATAAAAGTTAGGAATTTCTAACATCAAAGAACAGATTCCAATTTCCCAAACGATAGAAAGTTTTATTAAGGAGTGCGCAATCAGTGCACGGATATCGTTTTATTTGTTTAGAAGTTAAAAGAGGAAAACGTGTATAGCCCACTGTTTAATCCATTTTAGTTTATTTTCATCAAGTAATGTTTAAAATTAAAGTCAAAGTATTTGACCCGAAAAAAAACCGTAAACGTTTACTGTCTGAAATGAATTCGAATCTAGCATTAACCTTGTTCGAGATAAACAATGAAAACTGACTGTTGCTCTTTTAATAAAGAATTTGTCAGAACCGATAAAACACACGTCTTCAAGGTTATCAGATTCTGATAAGGAAGTGTAGTGTACTTGTACTAAAATTACTTCTGGATATATATGGAATTAATAATTTCGATCAGGATTCCATAACTGAAGCTCAGTAGACACCGGTTTCAATCTAGCGAAATGTCAGTCAATTCAATTTACCAAAGCTAATTCCTTTGTGTTCAATCGACCGATAAATATAAAGTTAATTTCGCCTAAATTTTCGAACTTATTTTAAATTGGTTTGTGTATTAATTTTTTTAAATTTGCAAATAACATTTATAATGAAAATACGCAAAATATTGTGTAAGTGTGTGTGTTATATCGACGAGTTTAATTATTTAATCTCCCAAAATACATTAATCTCCCCCGCCCACCTTTTTAAATTGGCAAATAAATGCTGTGGTGAAACTGGGTAGAATACATTGTATTATGTTTTTTAAAAAAATACAATATGGGAGATTAGATAAAGTGTTGGCAGTTCTCACTATAATAGTTCAAAACTAGATAATGCAAAGGGGATTTGCTGAACATTTCAGCTTTTGAATTTGGCAGTTCTCACTATAATAGTTCATAGCTAGATAACGTAAAGGGAATTTATTGAAAATTTCAGTCAAATTGGTCCACTCTGAAACCGAGATTTTAGCGATTTAATTTTCGGCCTAGCCTCGATCGTCATTACTAAAGTCGGTACAATAAAAAAAACATACTCTCGGTTATCCATTTTTGGATTTAATCATCAGTGAGCGCCGAGCAGCAGATCGGATTCAAATGCGATGACATCGAGAGTTGATTATGGTCTAGTTAAGTTAATTAATGTCTAATTAATAATTCAGATAACATTTCAGGCCTAAAGAGAGACCTGCAATAAGAAGATTTAGCTCTTACATAATGCATGTTTAAATCGAAGGGAACAGTAAACAGTTTTATATCCATTAATATTACCTGATGCAAGGGGTAGAAAAATTGAAGATGTATAAATTGTATTTTTTAAATAAAGAAATTAAGGAAACAATGACCACATTAATAAATATAGATCACTTGATGCTATTGAAAGGAAATAATATGCAATGGGGTTTAACGTACTACTTTTCTACACGAACTAATAGCACACTGTATGGGACGGTGGGCGCAATACACCCCCCCCCCCCCCCCCACGACAGGACTCTTAGCCAAACAGTACAAGCTAGTTTTAGCGTTTAGTATAACTGTTGACAGACCAGACATTCTTGACTGACAAAATACGTCACTTGAAATGTATGCGCATAACAACAAAAATATTGTTTTACATTTTTTAAATAATATGTAAAGAAAAAAGGACGATGAGTACATATTTATATAGATAAGTGACAATAACACTAGCGATAAAAATAATGATATGGTGACAAAGTTGTACTCAAACTTTAAACAAACATCATTATCACTACATTCTTGAGAGAAGACAGCATACTACAAACTAATTGGCTTATTTTGAATATCACATTTTGTGTAAATTAGTTTGAAGAGTAATAACAGAGGACTTGACAGAACCCGGAAAAAATGTTTTACTTTTTCCATTAAGCAGGTATGAATTAAAGCTAGAATTTATTTGACAACCATTGAATTTTCAAGTGATTTTCGCCTTGACGTAAATACCAAAGACGGCTACGTCTCTCCCATTACGAACAATTAATGAAATCTAGAGGTCTCCTTGTCATTGGAAAAATGTAGCGTAACAAAAATTCTGTGTAATAAAGGTCATAGTATTAGAGATGATTTGGAATGCAATTTATGCGCTCAGAGGTTATCAGCAGTTTTAGCATTTATAAAATTCAATATTTACTGTTGTACTGAATGCATAATCATAAGATATAGTCTACAAGATCACGGTCCAATAATTTTAATATCTGTGCATCACGAAAACATAATACCATCCAGTGTCGCCTCAAATAGTGTAGGTGTGCGGCCTGGTTGGACAGGACTATAAGGAAAGCTGGCATTTCTTTAGATATTTCTTTTGTTCTTTATATTTTATCCCCAGTCCGGATGAATGACGAAATCGTGTGGAATTGGTTGATGCGATTTGGTATAATGGGAACTTATATTTGCGACGGGATCTATATCTCTATATGGCGGCAAGTGATGCCAAGTTGTGTGCATCCATCTTTTGGCGCGAGTTTCGGGTTCCTGCAGACGTAGATATTTCAACCTGGTATTGAGTTCCGGTGTACTTTTGCCAATTTCTTGTTTACTAAATACCAGAAGAAAACAAAATAGAAATGACATTAAGTAGAGCTTTGAAAACAAAAAAGTACAACGCATAAGAATTGTCTGTGCACCAGATTTACAATTGAAAAGGGAAAGTCGTCCTAACCCCTCTCTATATCGTCTAAATATCAAAGTTATTCACAAGACGTTAGAGATATCATTTAAAAGAAGCCATACTCACAAACAATACAAGGATATATTCCTCGACAGGACGGATCGTATATTTTACATATGGCCGAGGATAGACAAATGAGGGTAGGCCCATTTAGATATTTCTAACGATTCTGGTTATTTGCATGACTCAGGAATTAATGTATACTCTTCAAAAAAGGTAGGGGATATTGAAATGCAAATACCTATGCAGGTTGTGATATGATAAATAGTCATGGACACTTGACATGCTTTGAGAGTATGTTCACAGATGGAGAACTTATCGCCCCAACAGAACCACTGAGCTGTATGTGCGACACGCAATAGCGCCATACACGTGGGAGGGGTTCATTGTCAAAGTTGACACTTCAAGGAAGGGTTGATGAAAACTACCGCTTGCTGGTTTATCCTATCCATGTTTGCTTTCCTATCGGTTCTTGCATAAGATTTACTGTTTAGTGTATCTTTGATTTAGTGTGTTACGTTTAATTTGATCGGGAGACGTGTTTGTCGACACCAACGTCCACCGACAACACTGCAAGAATTGGCCGTGGTACTACAAGAGGAGTGGGTCAGACTGCCCCAAATCGTGATTGAACGGTTGATTAGGAGCATGCCACGACGAATTGCTGAATGTCTGATGATTGGTGGAGCAATTACTCATTATTAAGACCAAAATCAAAAACGTCCATTTTCACTTTTGACGGCGTATCTCTTTGCGAGTGAAATGGGGCCGTCAGATAAGCCGCCCATATGCACTGTTTATGTTCATATGTAGGCAATTGGTCTGTTATTAACATACACTGGTTACCTCAAATAAAAACAGCAGTGCATTTCCGCAGTTTTGTATTGTTTCTGAATATCCCCTACTTTTTTTAAAGAGTATATTAACCGGGATTTAAAATACCCTGTTTGGACCGGCTCTTATAAAGGTATTAACAGCGGTTACACCGGGGTGCAATACAATCGGATTGTTTGCAAAATTTAAAACTAATTATCCAGACATTCGCGAGCGACAGACGTTTTAAGTTTGATTTATTATCAATAAAAACAGTTGGTCAGTACTATGCGTTTTCGATATTTCGGTTGGTTACTGTTCTGCACTGAATGGGCTATTGAAGACGGGTATGCCTCATACACTGTGCATGAGAGAAATTGTGCTCGGACAGCGGCGCTACAGCCTACTCTTATTTCGAATTCACGGGGCTTCGATTTTTTTGTGCCATCCGAAGGACTAGACACTCGTAATTACATATTTCATTGGTAAGTGCGATAATGTCTCTTGCTAATTTACCTCTTCAATATTTTTATAATGCCATCAATTCTAACTTGTTTTTCTGTTTCCGGCAAATTATTATTATCTAACGTCGCGAAAAATTTTAATGCCATTCTTCTGTCTACAAAAAAAAAAAAAAAAAAAAAAAATTATATATACCATAAAAATAACTAGATGCTAAGACAAAATTTACATGGAAACTAAGATCTTTATCAATTTTAAATATTATTGGCTTAGGATAGGGTGCCCCACCATAAATAAATATCTCCAAATATCTCGACAATTACACCACAATATTTATATATATATATATACCAAGCCTTAAATAAGTTTCGCACATTTATAGCCACTAAATAAACGATCGTGTTGTACTTAATTTAACCATCGATAAATAATAGACTGAAAAATGGATACGAGTGACGGCCATAACATATGTTACTGCCCTTGTTTTGAGATTAGTCTCGCTTATCCAGTCTACCTACCATTCTCCGTCTGATTGACAGACCGGGATAATCAAGACTATTTTTTTTACGAAACATAACAGAAAGCTGGAACAAGAAATTGAATTTAGAAACAGGCAACTCAACAATTGTTTTAAGAACCTTGTAAAAGTAAAATGAAACCACTGCTAGTATCATGTTCTTGCCTAACCCGAGTGTTTCAGAGGTATTATTTGCACTAAATCAAAAGATGCCGCTCCTAACGGTATAGTTAATGATAAAGCAATTTAAAAAATAAAACGAACGTAATTTCTAATGGTGCTGTAAGAGAGAGAGAGGGAGAGAGAGAGGGGGGTTTAACGTCCACTCGACACAAAATAGTTAATTTCGGGACTAACACATGGTTCAATTATAATTCAATAATTCGCTTGCGCGTAGGGGTCTTTAGCAGTGGGAGGAAACCGGAGGACCCAGAGAAAACCCACGGGGTTGGACAGGCGACCCTACTCCTTGTCACGTACAACCGTGGAATCGAAACCCCGCCAGTTGACTCAATGACAGACCGTATGATACAGCGCCCATAATATGCTAACCATTCGGTCATCCCCCCCAAGCTACTGTAATAACCAAAAGGCTAAATATTAGTGCTATTCAGAATTGTCAACAATAGATTTTTTACGGCTGTAATAGTTGAAAGATGTGTAGAGAATTTCACGTGCGATGGCTATTTATAGACTCTTGTGCACATTCGCCGTGTCGAGTTCAACTTTCAATAGGGAAAATTGTCGCTGTATGGGGCATCCTACTTACATTGAGGACTATTGAAATGAAATACATAGAAATGATATGGAATGGAGTTTATTGCCCTATTTTTTTGTTCCACGCGGGCTGCTGAAGACGGGCATACATTGGTATCAGTGATTATCTAGGCATTGTGCACGATGCAGAGTTTACTTAATCTTTCCAGAACATGTGATGCAACTTCTCGTGTAATTGGACGAACTGGTTTAATGCGTTCGTTTTATATCATAAGGTCTGTGAATGAGTCAGATGGCGTGGTTTCGAGCCCACACTTATATGTGACAAGGAGTAGAGTCGCATGTTCAATATCATGAGTTTTCCTCAGGTACTCCAGTTTTCTCCCACAGCTAAACTCCCCTAGGCGTAAATAAATTATTGATATAAAATTGATCATGTTAGTCCCAAAATGACCTACTTTATGTAGAGTGGACGTTAAACCCCATTTCATCCCCGCGGATCAGTTTATTTATATATTCATTCAGATTTCCTAAAAAAAATTCGTTGGTTGTCCCTGGGGTTTACTCTTGGGACTACAATGTGGATGTTTTCTATAATTTAAAGCCAATCTCTCTTGTCATTTAGTTAAATGCCAATTCTAAAAATAGGCTACCATACCGTCGTCTGAAGCATTATTTAACCAGGTATCGACTAATGTTCTAGCTTCCGGTTCCAGGGTCTTCCGTAATTTACTTGTGATCTGATTTTCATAACCATTGGTTCGTAACACTTTCTCTATCGTCTTTTTAGTTGAATCTGTAGCCTTAACCTGAGTATTCCAAATATCGGCGGCTCCTGCTGGTGTCTGAAATAAAATTTAATTTCCGGTGTGTTAATCGGAGACGAATACCCCCGAAGGAATAGAACTGTCAAATGGCATTACCTAGTAACCCACATTTTGAAAACGATGAAATTTCTTCTGACATTTTGTTTAGTTAATGGAAGAAAATTTAAGTCTTAAATAAAGATAGTAAAATCTTTTCATTTTCTACATGAAAGAATTTTATACCCGTTTCAAAAAATCTATGAAGAACTTGACCTATTAGGTGTTGAAAAGATTTCTATTTACATAATGGACAGTCCTCGGTCATTATCCATCACATAAACAATCACTGCAAATTTAAAAACAATAACAAGTGCAAGTTTGCAAAAAGTTTACAAAATAAAACTAGACGGGCCGACAGAAGATAAACGCAGGTGAAGATAATATTAGTCCACATTATAATATTAACGGCGTATAAAAATATGAGTAATAGGCCTACCTGTTTGAACCCTCTAGCACTGTTTGCTGGCGTTCCTAAAGCCCGTGATGACGTTCTCCTAGCCTGCGATACTGGTCTCATGGTATTACGATTACTTAATGATATCTCGGGTACTATAAACAAAAGACAAAGATCATACACAATTTGTTTATCCATTAAGTCGATTTCCAGCTATTATTCATAAAACTACAACCCCCGAACCTTAAACATACATTATGCAAGAGCTAAATCTGCCTATCGCAGGTCATTCTTTAGGCCTGAAATGTTATCTTAATTATTACTTAGACATTAATTAACTTATCCAGACCATAATCACCTCTCGATGTCAACCCTAGCCTGCGATATTTACTGGATTAGGATCCCATTTGCTGCTCAACTTTCATTCATGATTTAATCATGAAATGGATAATCGAGACTATGTTTTTTATCGTACCGACTTTAGTAATATTGATCGAGGCAAGGCCGAAAATCTCAATCGCTAAAGTCTCGTTTCAGAGTGGATCAATTTAACTGAAATTTTCAGCAAATTCCATTTAAATTATCTAGTTTTTAACTATTATAGTGAGAACTCTTTATCTAATCTCCCATAATGTATCTTTAACACTCATCCCTACTTTTAACTTAAGTGTATTGACATATCAAAACCCACTTGCTACTCTACGGAAGCACTCGTGGTGCCTTGGTAGGTTCCGTGAACTCCGTCGTGCCTTAGGCTTAATAGATGATAGACCAGAGGCTCAGTGCGGGAGGGGGGGGGGGTTCCATCAAATGGGCACAAAACCAGACCCAACTTTTCAAGAGTAACATTTTGAGCGATCACATGATCGTAATATGTCGAGCGTGTGTCTGCAGTGATCATAGTATTGCTGTAGACACTTTGTGGTGGAAGCTAACTTCGTGTCAATGACCAACAGCAAAATTACCAACCATGTGATCTAAATACAAAGGTGCAACAGAATTTATTAGCTAGGTGAAAATGTCAAATAGATATATTTTGAAACTTACATGTGGATTGGCGAATCAAACGATCTGGTTCTTGTTGTGGTTTAGCTAATCTCGGCACTGCAGAAACAGACCTACCTTTAAAGAAATATACAATAATACAATTAGCTTACATTTTAAAATTCGCTTTAAATATCGATGTTTGGAGAACAGTGACAACAAACGGTCTGATTTGCTCTGTCTAATATAAGTATGCTAAGAGATGTATATAGAGGATAAACCGGGTTAAAGCAGTGTGATATGAGAGACATTCTTCCCTTACAGTGAGGCTACGGCCTACTCTTATTTCATTTTCCAATTGACAGGATCACATTAGCGGCTTGCCAATGCTTTATATGAAATGAAATGAAATGGGTTACCGTTGTGAGTAATGAGCAAAGTCGAGTGGTGGAAATGAATGAAATGAAATGGGGTTTAACGTCCTACTGTTCTGCTCCGACTGGGCTAATGAAAATGGACATATGCCATACAGTGTGTCATGGCATGGGGGGGGGGGGATTCCAACTGCCAACGGATATTTTACGTGCACAACAATGTGTACACGGGACCTCGGTTTTTCGTCCTTGTCAGTCCCTCCGTTCTGCACCACTGACAAAGGGAAACCACGCTGGAAAATCCCGATGAACTTTTTCGGCCAACATCGGGATCGAACCCGCGATCTCCATCCTAGCAAGCCAGCGTCTTACTCACTTAGCCACCGTGGATTATGCCAATGGTTTATACGTGACCACCGAAGAACTTGACATTGTCAAATCATTGGTGACATAATGTGTCAACTTTCTGTACCAATAAACAAAGAGCTACCTGGAGATGGAGTTTCTAAAATCCTAGCTGGTATCTTCCAATTCATAAACATCTATAAATACAATAATAATCATATTAGGGCACAAGGAAATCATCCTCGGTTACCCAGTGTACTCATTCCGTTCTACTCCACTATACCCTGGGTTAATCTATGGGGGGGGGGGGACACGTTATCCGCCCTTGATGATTGTGCTATTTTTATCGACCAATCCAATAAATTGTTATTTGAAAAAGGAAGTTGGCAAAGGTAAGTAACTCTCATCGGACAATGTTAGGAGTTGGCCTATTCTAAATGCGTAATTATTAACAACCAATTATATATTATGTTAATGAAGACCAGACGTTCAGAGAATAATGTAGGGTCATTGGTTTTATTTAGAATCGTTCGTTCGTTCCCGGAATTTTATGTCCAAGTGATAACGTTGACAAGTTATTGAGAATCAAATTGCCATGCATAAGTTCAATAATAATAAACATAACAGAATGACATATTTCAGACAAAGAACGAATAGTAATAATAATAACAAAAGTCAAACATATATATATATATATATTTGAAATCAAAAACACATACTACAGATTTTGATAATAAAATTAATTATAAATAAATTATAAATATATACATTATTTACATAAATCATTCAGTAAATGGACATGAATATGGTTATCTACCCTTATAAAAACGAAGGCGAAACGATTGGTTTGTAAACTGTTTTCCGATTGGTTCGTAGACTGTAGCTACATTCTAGGCCAGGGCAGATAATTTGAAATCGTGGAAACCCTATAGATTAACCCAGGGTATAGGGGAGTAGAACGGAATGAGTACACTGGGTAACCCAGGATGCAAGGAAATGTACATGTCTACAAATTAAAGTTCGTTATAGCCTAGTCACGATTTTATAGTTCTTAGTTTTCTTTTAGTGGCATGATTGGGACATAATCAAATAACACATTAATTCATCTATTTGTGTATATGATTGAGACCTAACAATGAAATATTTAAATGTAGTTTACAATATAGAGGCACAGTGCTTTGGAATTCTCTCCCATATTCACTTAAAAATATTAAAAATCTTCATTTATTTAAGAAAAATATCATCCTGTAGCCTATATTTAATATATCAACTACGTACATTATCTATCATATAACTTTTAGTTTTGAAGTTAAACTATTTAGCTTATCAATATATATTTGAATGTTTTGTGTGTGAGTATTTGTTAAGTGTCTTGTTCTGTTACTGTCTTTTTCATTTCTTTGTTATAAAGGGCAAAATTGTAAACAGGCTCTAAGGCTAATTTTTCACCTTTGAAAATAAAGATATTATTATTATTATTATTATAACGACTTGTGAAATCTTGCTCAAACGTCGCAATACCATAGTAATTGTTATCCATAAAAAGTGTGTTCATTGATTGATTAGTTCTTAGTTTATTGCGGTAAAAATGTACAACCAAAGTCTGTTTGTCATGTGGGCTTCTCAAATGAGAAGTAGTATCAGCTGTTTCAGAGGAATGTGTTAGCATGCCCTGCCTCGTGCAAGACATATGTCACTTATTATGGCTCAATAGCTTGACCCTGTCTTAGGTCGCAGTGGCGCGTGGTGTAAATTTTCAAAATTATAGTCTAGTTCGAATATTCTTAGAGAAAAAAAAAATAAATAAAAAAAAGTAAAATCGTCTAGTTCACATATTCTTAGAAAAAAAAAACAACAACATCATCAACAACAACACCCCCCCCCCCCCCAACAAAAAACAAAAACAAACAACAACAAAAAAACAAAACAAAACAACCCCCCCCCCCAAAAAAAAAAATAAGAGACCCCCGCAAAAAAAAAAAAAAAAAAAAAAAAAAAAAAAAAAAAAAAATAATAATAAAATAAAAAAAAAAATAAAAAAAATAAATAAAATCGTTTCTGATCAATTGCCGGATTGGGATAGAATCCATCTAGCGTAACAAACATAATAAAAAGTTAAAAGATATTTGCATAGATGATTTATTAAAAATTTTATATTTCTTTTAGATTTAGTTTTTATTTCTGTTCTTTATTTCAACTGAAAATAGAAGACCGTCAAATTTGGAATTCTTATTGATTGAAATGCAAGCTTGCAGTGTGAAAAGGTTTGATATTATGAGTATTTCACATAGAATTTAGATGAAATTAATCTTAAAATCTTTCTGGGATTTTGAACAAATTTCATTAGCGATTGGGATCTCTGATGGATATAAACAACCGTTGTAAATGACCAGCTATAAGTGAGGCCGATATATTTGGCGAAAAGTTTATATTAAACAATGTTATGTTACAATGTCCGTCTACTACGACTGTACGGACAGCTGTAAATCTAATTATATTTATTTAGAATTGTCTTATTGCTATAAATTATTAATTGCCATCGTCTGGTTATAATACTGTCTGATTTACAGTAGGAAATTACTTCTTGTTTGTTTGGTTTTTAATGTTCGATCCACAAATTTGATACAACAGTAGGGTGCCCCACCATAAATAAATATCTCCAAAGGCTCAATACCACTCTTGTTGTAACTGAATAATATATCCCAATCTTTATTCTGGTCAACAAATTGTACTATTTTACATTATTCCAATTAATTGATGATACAAATTTCGTCTTAACACACCTAATTTAAAAAATTTGAAAAATTAAACTAAATTATTTCAAATGTGACTTGGATTTAAAAATATTTTTGAACCCTCTGGACAAGTAAAATAGGATTTAATGGATAATTTACACAACAGGTAGGACATTAACACATCTAGTACTTAGAATAAGGCTATTATTTTATTTTCTGGAGCTGTCAAGCCAACAAGAGTGTTATTGTCCCTTTAAAAGGGCTAAACAAGCCAGGGCCCTTATTCCTGAATAAGGGCCCAGGTCCATCACATGGATATTAAACGTTAAACATGATATGTAATATTTTAATGAAAAAGTGTTATGTTATTAAAGCACATCTGATTATGACAATAATATTGCTTGTGCAGTAAAAAAACATAATTATTATTACTTTAATATGCATAACGATGGCGACGTGAAAGGAATAGAAGCAATGACCACAGCGTAAATTAAGATTGGTCAATTTGAATAATGTTTTGGACCAAAACTGGTTTAATAAAAGCATTTTTAATTGGGTATGGTCAAAAATACTTTATTGGACTTATATTTTGGCACATTGCGGCTTTGGTAATTTTAAGCCCCTGTGTTGATATGTTTAATGGAAAGCGGTTTACCTGAAAGAGAACTTTTTAAAAACAAGAAAAAAAAGTAATTACAGCATGCAAAGAAACTTCCTTTTGGTCAATCTATTATTTATGCTTTGTAATTGGCTTCATGGTTGTTTTAGCTTTTTAGGCAGATGTAGAAATAATGAAAAACAAAATCTCTCCTGGTACGTTTTTCTAAATTTAATTTTGATATATAATTGAATTACAGTATTTTAGTATTCTTTTTATCTCCTGTCACTCACGCAAACCCATTTTTCTATCTACAAATAATTTGAAGCTAATCATTACGCTGTGTTTGTTTTATCTATCTCCCTTTGAAAATAAACCCACATGGCTCGACTTTTTCTAGGGTTTAAATACATGGCTTGGATTACTCCACTTTATCTTAGCCTTAAATTATTTCTTTATAGGGCGCGATCATTACAATAATGGCGGCAAACCAATCTACCAATCAAAAACTTGCGATACAGAAAATTCCGCGAATTCATTTTAAAGTTTTGATTTTCGATATACCTGAATGACTTTCTAATCGGGGTTAAAGGTAAATATGCTGTCATTACTGCCGGAAAATGCGCTCTTCTTTAACTTATCTGCAGATGTTAATGGATTTCTCAACAGAATACCCACAACGGATGAAATACATAAATGGCAACAATGCTTTTGCGTAACTTAAAGGAGGCAAGTCTTTAAATCAATATCATCTAGTCTTCAATTTAAATCAACATTGATGGCGTTATCTTACCGTGAAAAGATGGGTTTCTGATATTCAAAACAAGATGACAATTTTAAAATTGGCACGCGAATCGCGTTCCAGAATGCTTTCAAGCGCCATTTGTAATGAAGCCACTCGGCGTACAAGGCTAACTATACCCCACTGGAGAATACTACCGATGTAGACTGGAGTAACCTGTCGACAAAGCTTGTCATTCAGATTGGACTCTTCGCGTATTTCGCCGAACATAGCTGATTAGAAATTACAGTAACGATTGAATGTTAAATCAGTTTGTATACATTTATATTACATTATTATATGCGTTGTGCCAAAATTAAGAATCATTGTACTTTTTTATGTATATTCATAAGACGTTGACTCGCTAACCTGGAGGGCCCGTGTTCAATCCCGGCTTGGTTCTCTTTTGTCAGTGGTGCAGGACGGAGTGCCTGGCGAGAAACAACGTATAGTCGTTCGGATGATACGAAACAGAACCCTTGACAGTTGGACTTCGATATCTCTCACAGGGGCGCACAACTGACGGGGTAAGGGGGGATGGGAGCATCCCCCAAAGCTTAGTCCAGGCGAGTGGGCCTTTTTTATTCGGGAAAATGGGCCTATTTGCCGGAGTCTCTTACACATTCAATAAAACCAAAATAAGGCCTACACAAGCAATATTATTGTCATAATCAGATGTGCTTTGATAACATAACACTTTTTCATTAAAATATTACATATCATGTTTAACGTTTAATATCCATGTGATGGACCTGGGCCCTTATTCAGGAAAACTTAAACTAAGAAAAAATCGAAATTTTAAGAAATACTGCAATTTGATTGGCTGACCAGTAAAATCAATTTGCATATATCCAATGAAGTTGCAGTATTTCTTAAAATTTCGGTTGTAACTTAGTTTAAGTTTTCGTGAATAAGGGCCCTGGCTTGTTTAGCCCTTTTAAAGGGACAATAACACTCTTGTTGGCTTGACAGCTCCAGAAAATAAAATAATAGCCTTATTCTAAGTACTAGATGTGTTAATGTCCTACCTGTTGTGTAAATTATCCATTAAATCCTATTTTACTTGTCCAGAGGGTTCAAAAA